CACGGCCTACGGGCTGTGCTCACAGAAAACTGTCAAGCAGTCCCCAGGCCAGCAGCGCCGTGCAGGGTGCTGAGAATCCAAGAATCTACAGGGAGCATCCTCCCCGCACCCCAAACCCCTGCCACACCAGGCCCATCAGAATAATGGGAGGAGGCCACACACATCCCTGGAAGCCCAGATCCAGGAGATCTGAGGCTGGGCCTTGAACCTACACTTCTTATAAAACTCCCCAGGTTTTTCTGATGAGAAGCCAGTTTAAGAAGCCCATGATGCTAACCCAGGAGGGTTCTACCCTGACAGGAATCAGCATTCCACCCAAAGCCCAGCTACGGTAGAGACAGAAGCCACAGCACCTCTCAGGGAGCTGGCCCCCACCACAGGGGACCCCTCCTGCAGTCCTCTCCCTCTGGGTACTGAGTCCCTGGAACACAGGTGCTCAGTACCTGACTCAACAGGATCCCTCTTCCTCTCCGGTACGTGACAGTGTGACCACATGCCCCCCACTGCACCTGTCACCATGGTCATCCTTCACGGTGCTTCTTTTCATTCTACAGGTTTCCAGGTTGGACGTTAAATCATACAGTCACGCTGGTTTTAAGGCAGTAAAAGTCACTTTCCAGCCAAGCAGGTGGCTCAGGGTGTCAGATTGCAGTTCAACTTTTCTCACGACCAGCCTTTGATCAGCAAAACACACAGCCTTCCCTGCCCCGTGGCTGCCATAGTTTTTCCTAGAATCTGGATTCCTACAGCTCTCCTCCAGACCATTCTCATGTATATCGTGCTCTCTCCCCAGAACCCCTGCACCAGCCTGGAACAAGCCTTACTCTGGGCACCTTATAACCCTTCGTAAAGGTATGAACTCAGCAGTCAGTCAGGCCTGTCCACCCAGGCGGTTCCCACTGCTGACAGGCCACAGCCCTGGGGATGGCCCCAGATCCCGAGCACCCAGGGACCCAGGGACCCAGCGTTTCCAGAACAGCCCATCTTGGTGGGATGATGCCCAGAAGAGCGCTACCCTCCACCCCACCCTGGTCAGGCCCCACGGCTGTGCAGCCAGGGCCCAGTTCAGCCAGGACTAATCCCAGCGTCTGCGTCTCCAAACAACCCTGCAGGCACTACTTTGACAGAAACATGAAGCGAGCAGACACACAGCAGGCCATGGTCTTCCAACATCATGCTTCTTCATGACAGTCCTTTTCATTTTTTTTTTTTTAAGATTCTTTTTTTATTTTGGGGCACCTGGATGGCTCATTCAGTTAAGCATCTGCCTCGTGCTCAGGTCATGATCCCAGGGTCCTGGGATGGAGCCCCGAATCTGGCTCCCTGCTCACTGGGGAGACTGCTTCTCCCTCTACCCCTTCCCCCCCCACCCCCCGCTCATGATCTTGCTCTCTCTCAAATAAAATCTTAAAAAAAAACCCTTTTTTTAAGTTATCTCTATACCCAACCTGGGGCTTGGAACTCACCACCCCAAGATCAAGAGTTGCCTGCTCTAGTGACTGAGCCAGCCGGGCGCCCCAAGACAGTTGTTTGTAAGGGCTTACTTCCACTGTTTAGCTCAACACAAAGATTATAGTATTTGCGTAACCTGAAGATCCAGTTGAAAGAACGGTGATTTGAAATTCCGCCAGATAACCCAAAGTTGTTTTCTGAGTTTGGAAAGAAAAGGGAAAAACGCCATAAAGTTCACAGATATGTCTACGTGGCTCTCAGCCACACATTTATTAAGGAGAGCTGCTGGGATGGGCCGTACCCCACACCATGCTTCTGAGTCGGGGCTTGACCCCAACCCGAGCACCACGCACTCCCAACACCAAACACTCTGAAAGAGCAAAACCGACAGCAGAGACACACATATCAGTCCCTGTACGTGGAATCTGCGTTTAAAGAACCTACGTACTAGAACCTAAGATACTAATCCTGAGGACGTAAGTACTTTTTATTAATCACTCACGTTCGAACACTAACTCCTTCTCAGTCTCAATAAGCTACGAGTCCGTGCTCCAAGCTCAGAACTGAGCCACTCACGAGGCACTGCGCACTCAACACTAAGCCCAGGGTCCGCCCCCCACGGCGAAGTGCAGGGCCCTCTGCTGAGTTACAGGGATCCTCACGGGGCCAGGGGTGCTTGCATAAGTCCTGTACAACCTCACCTCAATAGTCGGAACTAGAAAGTTTACGGTAACTCATTTCAACAGGACGTAGCCCTCCCTACCAAAGATGCCCTTGGCTTCACTTCTAACCCACATCCATGTGTGTCTGTGCATCATGGTCAACATAAACCGTCTCCGGTCGGGGATTGAAGGTGTGCGGAGCACCTGTGACAATACCGGGCACTCGCCACGACACTGTCACATACATCCCTCACAGTAACCCGATTTACAGCCATAGACCCTGGAAGCACGAAAAGAGAAGTCACCCTGCCCCCACCCAGGTCAGAGTGCCACAGCCAGAACCTGCGTGCCCCCTGCCAAGGCACTTCCCGCTGCCCCCACTGCCTTCAGAACGACCCAACTCCTGAATACAACATGCTGGCCACCTCAAGGACCGACATCACAGCTCTCCCTCACTGTGAGCCCCACCTACCCCATGGCCGCCACAAAGTCCCAGGAAAAGACGAGGCCTTGGCTTTTCACGGAAATACTCAAGAAATCACTTGCAAGAGACAGCTGACCCCCTGTGTGAAGACAGTACAAGAATACATAGCAAGTTTCAAAAACTTCCCCACCAAAAAGCAAACGTCACTTTTATCATTAGCTGAAAGGAATAAAATCTTAAAAGACTCATTTGCCTGCATTTCCCGGAGGGCACAGGGCACGGCTAAGGGACACGAGGGTGAAAGTCAAGTGGTACCCGTGAGACAGTGTCACACGGAACACCAGTCTGACCCCTACACGCGCCTGGGACGAGGAACGCCTGAAGTGCATGCTTCACAGCCGCCGCGGGAGGTGTGCTCAGAGCTGAGTGCGGGCCACAGCCTTGTAGTTCTGGGCGTGTGTCCATCATCAGCCTGCTCCTTCGACTCGGCCTTCCACGCAGCGGACCTCAACCACCTCACTGCTGACCAAGGAGCTGGGCGGCAGGGGGACTATTTCAGCAAAATCTGGGATAGCTGGATGGAGAATTACTTTATTTTAGAAGAAATAAAATGGTTTTATAAACACTCATGCTCACAAAACATGAAACTCAGGTATATATGTTGTAAGAAATACAATTTAGACAGAGAGCAATGCAGCGCAATTAGAATAGTCCAGAAGAAAATGCAAAGAGAAGATCGGAAATAATTTTGGTTTCAAAAGGCAATACGGAGGGCGCCTGGGTGGCTCAGTTGGTTAAGCGACTGCCTTCGGCTCAGGTCATGATCCTGGAGTCCCAGGATCGAGTCCCACATCGGGTTCCCTGCTCAGCAGGGAGTCTGCTTCTCCCTCCGACCCTCTTCCCTCTCGTGCTGTCATCTCTCATTCTCTCTCTCTCAAAAATAAATAAATAAATAAAATCTTTAAAAATAAAAAAAAAATAAAAAAAATAAAACAACAAAAGGCAATACGGAGAGATATTTAAGAGTGTAAACTCTGAAGCCAGCCTACTTGGGTTCAAATCCCTGCTCCCTCACCTACTACTGTGTGACTTAGAGTAAGTCACCTAACCTCTCTGTTCCTCGGCTTCCTCATGAATACACTAAGAAGGTCAGCACCACATGAATGAAGTGGATCTAACATGCTCACAGCAGGCCTGGCAAAACAACTGTTACATATTAACGCCACCTGAGTTAGGAGCTGTTATTAACACAAGGACATGTGATGCAAACAGGAAAAGCAAATTCAACCGGGGAGACTCAATCATCTTTGCACGGTCATGTTCTCAGTGACAGCACCAGGCACGCACCGCACTGGACAAGGAGGAAGTACAGCCCATCAGGTTTCTGTCCGAAGCAAGAGGAAAGGGAACTAGCCATCTGGCGCACCTACTATGTGCCACCGTGTCATCTGCTCATCAGCCCTGCAGGTAAATGACACACGTCCCAGAGGGAGGAACTGCAGCTAGGGGAGACAGGAAACCACTGCCCAGCAGACAACGTCAGGAAGGGCCTTCCACCTTGCTGCCCAGCAAAGAACCACAAGGACCTGGGTCCCCCTGGAGCCCCAGGGCTGTGGCCTCCCAGCATCCCCACTGGGTTGGAGGGGTCAGGCCGCAGGCGGCCAGGCAGGCGACGGGCATGGCAGAAATGCCTGCTGAACCGAACTGAACGAGGCCAGGTCTCCAGATGCGCCCAGGCGGTCCTGAAAAGAGGCTAACGCTGCAGCTGCTGGCTCCGGTCGGTCAGCAGCTGGTCCTGGACTGACATTCAGGATGAAGACTCGAGGACGTGAGCACGGCTCCCCCGGAGCACCGTGCTGGCCCCAGCTTCTCCTTTAGCACAGGCGGGAGGCCCGACCCCGCGCCTGCCCGCGGCCCTGACCTGCGCGTGCACTCAACAAGTCCGGAGGCTCCCTGTGCCATCAGAGCTTCACGTCTAACTTGGGTGACATCCGAGCCGGACCAGGAGCGCCCGCAGCACGACAGCCGGACGGCCCGCCAGGTGCGGGGCGCCCCAGCCCTCCTCCCACAGGTGGTCGCCTGAGCGGCCGGGTCCCCGCGGGCGCTGCCCTCCGCGCGGCGCGCGTGCGACCCCCGAGCGCGCCCCCGCCCGCCCGACGCCCAGCGGGGCCGGCAGGCGCGCTCCGGCCTCCCAGCCCACCCGGCTTCCGGCGCCCCCGCCGCCGCCGCCCCCCGCCCGCCGCCAACTTTCCTCCCAAGTTTCCCCGGGGCCGCGGGCTGGCGGGCCGGCGGGGCGGACGGCGGGGGTCGGGCCGGGGTTGGGGAGCGGAGGCCGGGGCCGGGCCTGGCCGGCGGGCAGTGGGCACAGGGACCCGGTTCCCCTCCCCCCCAACCCCCGGCCCCGCCCGCCCAACGCCCGCCCGAACCCCGCCGACGCCCGGCCGAGGTCCCGGGCCGCTCACCTGGACCGCGGTCCCTCCGGCGCCTGCCGAGCCTCGCCGCCCACCCCGCCCCCGCCCCGCAGGCCCGCGACCCGCTGACACCGAGGCGGAAGTGCGGCCGGCCGCCGGGCAGACTGACAGCCCGCGCTCGCCACTCGCAGCGCCCGGCGCCAGAGCGTCAGCCGCCGCCCGCCCAATCAGCGCCCTGCCCGAGGGTCGCGCCGGGAGGCGGGACTATGCTACTAGTTTCGCGGGAGCGGCAACCCCCCCGCCCCTCGGGAGTCCCGCCCAGGAGGAAGAGTGATGTCACGGGCAGCCAGTCACAGCAGGGAGAGGCGGGGTTATGCAGATATTGACCCTAAAGGGGCGGGAGAGAGGGAGGAAGGGGCGTGGCTGGACGAGTTGAGTTTACAAACAGCGAGTCAGGTGGCGGGGGCGCTCCGCGGGCAGGTAGCTCTGCGCCCGCAGTTCCCAACCCCTAGGGACGGGCGGAGGCGGGAATCATCCTCCCAAAGCTGTCTCCCTCAGCTCAAGCGTCTTGCAGGGCTCCCCGTCGTCCCCCTTCCTTGGCATACCATTCATCTCTCATCAAAACCCAGCACCAGTTTACCCTCTGGCTGCATTCCTGACAGTTCATTCCTGTTTAAAACCCGCTGATCTGTAGTGGCTCCGTGATTGAGCCCAGAAGCTCTGGAGTCAGACCCTGAGCTTGCATCCTTATCAGCTCTGTGTGGCTTTGGGCAAGTTGAATAATCTCCCTGAGCCTATGAGCACCCAGATTTTCCTTTGCAAACCATATTTCTCCCACCCTCATCCCATTTAAATCATGGGTCTGGTTTGGAGTAACAGGAACCCGGCTAGTTGCTCAGAGTCACGGCAACTGGTTCAGGGGTGAGCAAGAGACCCTGTCCTAGCCAATGAGGGTCAGCCCTGGGACTTCTGCAGGGAGTCAGAGAGTTCAGGCCAGAAGGAAGGCTGAGGCCAAATGACTCTCCCATCTACCCACAGACCTCTCCAGAAAGAACCGGGCTGGGTGAGAGAAGGATGCATTGTCTGGAGCTACTAGTGGGCATCTTGCCACCATGAGGGGAGGAGCCACCAAGGAACGAAGCCAGCCCAGAGGAGCGCAAAAGCAGATATCGTGGGTCACCTGGAAGAGCTACACCTGAAGCAAGCTCTGCCCTAGACTTTTCAGTTATATGAGCTATTCTGTTTTCTTTGCTGCTTAAGCCTGTTAGAGTACAAAGGAGTACCGGGTCCCTGCAACCCCGAGAGTACAGATAGATTACCCGTGACCACGTGGTACATTGAAATGGCTCTGCTCATTGCTGCCTCTTCCACAAAGCCAGACCCACTGGAGCCTCTGCACTCCCTCCTCAGAACGTGATTCCTCATTTCTAGCAAGGAGGAGGGACTGACATGTCGCCCCCAGCGGGACTAGGGGTGCCTTGAGGGCAGGAGCAGGTCTTGGCTGCCCCCTAAAGATGAGGGCCTGAGAGAGTGGATGGGGTCTCTGGCGGGGTGGGGCCCAGGCTGAATTTCTGGGCCCAGAAAGCCTGTCATCCCCCATCCCAGAGGCTGGCCCGGCTCACTGGTGGGCCCTGTCAGCGGAGCCGCTGGTGCGCTGGGACTGAAAAGGAGCTCTCCCAACCTCTGCTGTAGAGAGAAACCAGGAGGGGGCGGGGCCAGGCCTCAGAAACAAAGGCGTTGCCATGGTTACCCCTGAAGAAACCGACCCCAGCAGGCGTGGAAGGTGCGTGCAGGCCCCCAAGCCAGGACAAGGACAAGGCCTGTTGCCATGGAGATGCTCCAAAGCTTCCCTCGCGGGCCTGGCCCAAGTCCGGTGCAGGGTCCTGGAACCACAATCCGTCACCCTGATGGGTCTCTAAGACTCTGACCTAATGCAAAGGACATGCCCGGAGGGGTTCAACCTACTGGCCCACCCCTCGGCCATGACCTCTGGGGCGAGTGCCACATCAGAGAGCTTACGGCCCGAGGAGAGGCTTGAGTGGACAGTGTCTCCTGTCTGCCCACGGACCACCCTGGGGCGGAGCTTGACCACCTCTGCCCTTGGCCTTGGGGTCAGGTAGGGTCTGACCACAGTTGGGCCCTGCAGCTGGGGTATCAGTTTACCCACTTTAAACAGATGCAATAAACCGAATTCCAAGGGCCAGCGGCTGGTCCTCCCTGATCCTCATGGCCAGGATTGAGTGGGGATCCCCTCTCGGTTGATGGCTGGAAGGATGGTGCATGGGACCAAATCAGGAGCAATTTTCATGATCTTCACTGGGTCAAGAGGCTGATTCCAGAGGCAAAATTCTCTAAGAATGGGTTGGAAGAGAGGAGCAGAAGAGGATACAGAGGGTTTGGGGCCGTGCAGTGATCATGGTGCTGATGACAGCTGGTGCTCTCCAGGGTCCAGGGGCTTATGTGTGTGCAACAGCCAATCAAGTCGGTGCTGTGGGCCAGGTCCACTGTGCAGAGGCACAGACTGAGCCTCAGGCCCGGAAAGTGACTCACCTCAGGCCTGCGGGGAGGAAGTGGTCCAGGCACCGCGTGGTTCTGCAGACCCACGGCCCAGCATGGCCCATGAGCTTGTTGAAAAGGCTGGGATCTTCCCAGACCTCTCTGCCTGGGGTCTGCACCTGAATAAGACGCCCAGGTGTTCCTGGGTGGCTGGGACCTCTGGGGGGCTCATGGGTCCTGATATCAACTGACTGATCACCTTCCCCATGGCAGGAGACTTGTCCCAGAGTCTCCTCCATCCTGAGCACTCAGGCCTGGCTTGGCTCCCAGAGTCCATCCATGTATGTGCTCTCAGAGCTTTGAGAAGTGCTGGGCTAGTAGATAACTTTCGGGGTGTCTGCTCCCAGTGGAACTGCTCTCAGACCAGGCCAAGCCCAAGAGCAAACCCTATAGTCATGTCTGCCTGTCACTCACCACCCCAGAATTGGATCCTCCCAGTCCCAGCTCCTGCATGAGCATCAGTTGGTACCATGACCCACGAACCCTGTGGGTGGGTGACGTGTGGGCCCAGAGCCTGGGCTCCAAAAGTCCCCAACTGTGGGCACATGCGCCCCGACCTGCCCTCAGGAAGCACATTCACCTGCATTGCCCTCCTTCCGTCTGTCTCACCATGAGGAGGCAGAACAGAGATGATCGCTCCCCCTTCAGACGGGGAAACTGAGGCTCAGGGAGCAGAGCAACTTGCCCACTGCAGAGCAGGTCTGTTAGCCCACCAGGGCTGGTTGTTCAAGAGTGCTGGGCGTCCAGCGCTGCTGGTCTGGCCTTTGCTCTGCGCGGGGCGCGGCCTGAACTCACTCCTTTCCCTGCCCCACCCCCAGGCCTTTGGAAAGGACATCTTCCAGTCCCTTCTGTGGAATGCTGGGGCATCTTTCCTCTGGATGCAGCCAGGACGGCCAGAGAGCGCTGGCCACCGAGGCCTGGCCCCGGCCGTCACGTGGCCCAAGCAGATCCTTCCCCATGCAACTTTCTCATCTCTGCAACGTGACAGCACTCGGCTTCCCCATCGTCGGAGGAGAGTATTTTTAGTTTTGAACCCACCACGTGAAGAGAGACAAGTTATCAATAGCAGCGGCAAAGGGCTTTTTCTTTTTTTTCCCCATGGCTTTGGGACCTGAGCAATCTGCACCCGTTGAATTCTGCCAAAAGAAAAAGAAATGCATTCCTCTTACCAACTTTTTACCCCGCAGCTTCCTCACCGCTGAGGCTCTGCCAGCCGACTCTTCCCGGCTCGACCCCACCTGATTCAGCAGCACCCACCAGCTCTGGGAGAGGAAGGCAGCCCTGAGGTCAGTCTGCCCCAGGAAGGCATGGGCAGGAGTGAGCTGACCCCCAGGGTCCGAGACAAAGGGCAAGGCAGAGGCCAGAGCCCCAGAACAGGCAGGCATGAGGGGGCTGGAGGGGCCCTGACTTCCATGCTCATAGAGTTGACATAGGCCCCATTTCTAGCTTCAGTAGCAGCCCTAGCACTTATTGAGCACTTACTGTGTACCCAGCGGCAGCCCAGCATCTGTTGAGTGCACCTTCCCAAACCAGGTGCCAGGGAATCCCAAGGACTTTCTGTTATTAGGTGTTTCTGGAGGAAAGCATTCCGTGGAACTAGGAACCACGGGAATGCTTTTTAACCTATTTAAATAGGTTTTGGGAAAGCTATTTAAATAAAGGCAACAAATGTCCCCCTCAAAGGCAGGGGGTCCCAGGGCCCTTCTCATTCTGGTGTGTGTGGGAGCCTCCCAGAGACAGAAGGCCCAGCTGCAGACCCAGGATTTATTGGAACTAGGAACCTTTTCTCCATGGAGTGTTTTGCACAATCCTGGAGTGGCCTCCTACCTTGCTGGGGGAACATTCGGACCAATTTGGCTGTCTGCCCTTTAGGACTAGTTGGAGCTGCATATATAGAAACTCAGAATAACACAGCCTTCCACAAGATAGAAATGTACTTCTGTCTCGCATGACACAAGCCCAGGCTGTCCAGGGCTGACATGGGGCCGTGCATCATCAAGGACCCACTTCCTACCCTGTTGTGCCACTTTTTTAGAGCTAACGTCCATCCTCACATTCACCTCATGGCCCAAGATGGCTGCGGGCACTCCAGCTATCTCATGCATATTCGACCAGGAAGAAGGAGGCAGGGAGAGAAGCAGCACAGAAGTGCTGCCCCACCGGGGGCGTCAGCTCTCTTTGAGGGTCTGTCCCTGAGAGCACTAGGCACTTCTGCTCACATCTCACTGGCCAGAACTGCATCCCATGCCATTCTTGGTGGGACAGCAGCATTTTAAGCTGAGTGCACTGCCAGCCTGAACAAAACAGAGGACCCAGGGGAGAAGGTTATGGGTGGGCACTGGCCAGAGGACCTGCCTGCTGGCCTCTCTGAACGGAGACCCCTGAGACCACCCAGAGTCCTGTGGCTCCCAGGTCTGCTCCAGCTGCGGCCAGGGCCGGGGCAGAGACGTGTGGACACCTCACAAGATGGGCTCTGGGAAGAAGAGGCAGCACCGGACCCGAGGGAGAGCTCTCGGCTCCGGTCTCCAACTCCCTTGCTGCACACGGCTTGTGCCCCATGCCTGGCGGATGCTCAGCCTT